GGCCTCCGTGGGGGGTTGGGGAGCCACGTCCCGTCCATCCTCACCTGAACCCTCTCTCAGCCCTGCTCTTCCCTCCCTCGGCCCCCTCCAGGGCCCTGGGCCAGGCCTCACCATCACAGCAGCCTCCTCCCCGAGTCTCTGTACAGGTCTCACCTCCATGGCCCCTCACCAAGCCCACCCTGCACACTGCCCCCGGGTCACTGGTTGCAACTCAGCCCAGCCCTGCTATCACTCCCTGAGCACCTGCTGCAGGCCAGACCCTGTCCGAGCACTTTACGTGGATTATCCTACTGAACCTGCACCACAGACAGACCTATGAGCCCTCACTTCCCCCAAATCTAAGACACTGAGGCCCAGAGAGGTCAGTCCATCCACCCCAAATCTCAGAGCCAGAAAGGAGAAGGGCCGGGGACAAGCCCAGGCAGGCTGAAGCTCAAGCACCAGTAACCCCCACCCCACACTGCCACGCTAGGCTGTTCAGCCTCATATTTGGGACCCATTAGGAGTGGACTTCAACCAGTTTTTTCCAAACTTCTTTCCTCTGATTTCTCTCCACGCACAATGCATTCACTGCCTCCGTGTATGACACAGACATACCTTCAGATTCCCACCTCCCAGACCTTGCTCAAGCAGTTCCTCCCCCAGAATGTTCCTCTCCATCTCCCACATGCTTCCCCTACTCGTTCCATAAGTCCACCCTGATGCCACCTCTTCCATGCAGTCTTCCCCGATTTCCCCCACTGGGGAAGATGGTGCTCACCCCTCATATCCCAACTGTTCACGTCCATCCCTTTTTTCCCCACAGGACTACTCTGAGCTCCCCTGCGTTAAGCTCAGGGGATGCAAAAGTAATTGAGGCACCTTCCCTGCTGTTACGAGCTGAACTGTGCCCCCCTCACCGCCCCCCCACAAATCATATATTTAAGTCCTAACCCCCGGGACCTCAGGATGTGACTATATTTGGAGATATGGTCTTTAAAGAGGGGATTAGGGTAAAATGAGGCCATTGGAGTGGGCCCTGATTCAATATGGTTGGTGTCCTTATAAGAAGAGATGAGGACACAAACACAAAGAGAAGACAGCCATCTATAGGCCAAAGAGAGAGGCCTCAGGAGGAACCAACCCTACTGATCCCTTGATCTTGGACATCCAGCCTCTAAAATGGAGAATGCATTCTGCTGTTAAAGCCATCCAGTCTGTGGCACTTTGTTGTGGAGGCTAATACACCTGCCCTCAGGGAACTTGACATCTGACAGCTGTGTTAGGTGTGACCCATTTCACACCTTCAGAAGCTCCATGCTTCTGATTTGGAGCTCTGGCTCTCTGGGTATAAAATATGCACAGATATCAGGTTCCTGAAGGTCCCTGAGCAGAGAGCATGAATAGTCAGGGCAGAATTACCTCTGCATACAGCTCCCCTCGACATCCTCAACCCTGCAGAACAGCACAGAGCAGATGTGGAGCGGGGGTGGGGGACATGCCGATCTGCTGACCACCAGCGACAAAACTGAACCAGCTGGGCCTGGCTGCAGGAAGCTCACATTCTAGTCCACTGACGCGTCAAAGCTGGAGTTCCAGTGCCGTGAGGGGAGGCGCACAGGTGAGTTGTACTTAAGTATAACGAGCACGCCATTTCCCAGACATGGTAAAATTGGCACAGGGCACAGCACCATCCCATTGGGGTAGCATGAAACCCTGACCTCGGAGGCAGGGACCTGCATTCTGTCATACTTGTCTCCAGATCACACCTCTGCCTCTGAGGGCAGCTCGGGAGACGCAGAACCTGGAGCCACCGTGCATGACCCGTTCTGGATCCATCGAAGGTATAACACCAGTTGGTTTCAGTGAAACACTCATTTCACACCTAACAATTCATTTCTACAGCTAAACGCAGACAGAAAGGCAGTGTTCGAACTTCCAAGCAAGGCCCCTTCTGTATCTCCATGGGAGCGGGAAGAAACCAAGCCTTTGGAAGGAAAACGCACATATGTTCTCAGTGCTACAGCGACGGGGCCTGTCCTGGAATAAGCTCGAATCCTGCCATTCCTTTCCGCAGATGCTCTAAAATACCATTTTAAAAAGTCTATCCCTCTCCAAATGCTTTCTTTAACTTTGTAAAACACCTGACATGGTAAAGCAAACACCATCTCTGCCCTTGTAGAGCACATCTGCAGAGCGTAGCTCCTTGGGTTCGGATACCTGTGCAAATCAGATGACATGAAATTTTTAAAAGACTCTGCTCAGCAAATCGGCCTCAAGTTAGTTTCTCTTCCGTTTTAGCTTTCAAAAGTGGTGCTTTCAAGCGGAGGTGAACCAAGTGCAGAATCCTGGCTAAAATCCTTAGCCCTGGGGCTGCCAGAGGGACCAAAGCGCATTTCTGAGACACTTCACATGCGGAGAAAACAATGCAACGCATGCGCGGAGTGCTGAGAAAATAATGGTTAGAGAAAAGGGTTTTCCTTGGCTCTCGGTTACAGCTTTCACTCCTCTTGAGTTCTTCCCAGGCAAGTGAAACTCTTAAAGCATCACCTGCTCCCCAAGTCAAAGGATGATGCGCTTTTCCAGCGAGAACTCCCGTCTCCCCGACTTCCCAAGCCTGAGAATGGGTGCGGTGGGGGGGCGGGGCTGGCAAGCGAAGTGGGAGGTGCTTGAGCCAAACGCCGGGTCAGCATCTCCAGAACCACAGCCGGTAACAGTGATGAGTACTCGGGCTTCGCCTGCTGTCTGCTGAGTGCCAGGCCACGCCCTGCTCTCCACAGCCACCCCTGCCGCCCATTTCCCAGCGGCCCGGGGAGAGCTGCAGCTCTCAAAGCTCCTCCCCGGATCTGGACTTCCCACCGCCCACTACAGAGAAGTCAGCACCTCCCCACATTCCCACTCCCCACGCCCAAGCCCCCCCCCTCCAGGCATTCTGCTGCCAGCAGCCAGAAAACAGTCACACAGGAGTCACTCACCTCAGCCTCGGTCCCCAGGCAGCAAAGCCAGGTGGGCTCCTCTGCCAGGCCCTGCCCTCAGGGCCCCGCCCCACTGGCCCAGACTCCTCCTCAGTCTCTCCAGGGGAACCCTGCTCCCAGGATGGGGGTGGGCGGGCTGGGTGTCAGTGAGCCCTGAAGGTGCGGGTCCCACCTGGGCGGCTGCTCTCCCTAACTTCTTTCACCCCTACCGCCCCCCACCACGAAGCTGAAAAGAGTGAGCTTCTGGAGGAACAACCTGGGGGCAGGGGGCTTGGTTTGGCCGTTCTGGCTCCACTGGTCTGACTGTCAATGTTTACTGGTTCCTTTGAGTTACTGGTGTCCGGGTTACCTTGCAGTCCCTGAGTTACAGCTTACGGTACATAGGACACGATTTGCTCCCGAGTATTGGGAAGGAAGGAAGAAGGGCGGGACCCAGCTGCACGTCTGGGCTCTGACCCCGTCTCCAGATGTACGTGGGGACGTTCCCCCAAGGGCTCTTCGAGGGAGGGGCGCCTGCGCCCCTCCCTAAAGCCTGCTGGCCGGCGGAGCGCAGGCGGTCAGCGCCGACCCGCCCCTCCCCCCAGGGCTTCCAGCCTGGCTGGAGGTGGCTGAGGTGACCAAGGACCAGAGACCCGGCACAAGCGTGAGAAGCTGGCTGCGGAGGGGGTCCGGCAGGGCGCCGCGCTCTGGGCCAATCAGGCCCATCCACTGCCGCCCCTGCCCCAACAAGCTCATCCACCCGCCCCTCCCTTCTCCCGCAGAGTTCCCCAGCCAGCGGGGCTAGACCGAGGAGGTGGGTAAAAGTGCCGCCCAGCCCAGGCTGCACCCCTGCGGTGACTAGAAAGGCACCTGCATCCCCGCCCCTCCACTCCCAATGGATGCAGGGGCCCTGGCCCAGCGCGGCTTCCCCTGAACTTTGGGAAGCCTTGGTCAAGGAGAAGGGTCGGGGGTCAGCCATTGGACAGTGAGTGGACATTGATGGAAAGGAGGAGGGGCTCCCATCTCTTCCCCCCATAACCGCACGCGCGCGCACACACACAGCTGCCACCTCCCTCCACCACTCCCTCTCCCAAAACTACAGATGATCCACGTGGGGCTGCCGGCAGGTGACCCCAAGATAGATGACCACGGGTTATCTGCTCCGGCGGGAATAGAGCGGGGTGGGAGGGAAACGACGCTGTGGCACCCCCCCCCCCGGGGAAGAATATGAGGGTATCCCCACGCACGGGACACACCACCAAAAAGGAAGAGGCGGGATCCAAGAGGGGGCAGGACCCACAGAGCTGGTGGAAGGAGGCGCCGGAGGACCTTAACAGAAGTGTGTTTGCAGGGCAAGGGGTGTCGAACTTCCAGCTGGAGCGAGGCCGAAGTAGCGGCCAAGGTGGGGGAGGGCAGGGGGTGCAAGGAGCTGGCCGCCGCGCCCAGCCCCGCGGGTAAGCAGGTCCCGGCGCATCCAGGTGCGTCAGCGGCGGGCCCTCAAGGCAGCCGCGGGTCGCACTACGGGAACGCGGGGAGAGCGGTGGCCCCAGAATCGAGGGTCCCAGAATCGGACGCCGGGCTGACCGGGGAAGTCCTAGAGCCCGTGGAGGTGCCACGAGCGGGGTCCCGGGTAGACCAGGGTGGAGCGGGTCCTGGAACCAAAAATCCCCAAACAACGCTGGGTGGACCGGGTGGAGTCTGAAGGCGATAGAGGCGCAACACCGAGTCGTGAGTGATCTTAAAGGGCCTGGGGGCGCCCCAAGGTGGCCGGGGTCCCGAAACCTCCGGAGACACCCGCCCCCCAACCTGCGATCTGGAGGCCAGTGGGGCCGCCCCTGAGGTGGCTCGGGGTCCCGGAAATCAGCGGAAATGCCCCCCGAGGTGAGGCAGGGCGTTCATGTATCTGGTTCCCAAGTAACCAGTGGCCAGGGGCCAGCAGGGGCGCCGCCGAGGTGACTCTCGTCCCCAAGTCTCCGAGAATGCCCGGGGTGACCGCGGGGCCGTCCGGAAGTGGGGGCTCCGAGGTGTCCGGGGCAGGGCCCGGGGGGACGCGCGGAGGTCACTTACGCTGCTGTTCTCGCCCGTCCAGTGCACCATCGCCTGGTTGTGCGTCGCGTCCCCCTTGAGCACGAACGACGTGCTGATGAGTGAGACCTGCGCTTGCGAAGCCGCTCCGGCCACCGGAGCCGCCCGTGCCCAGCGCCCCTGGCCCGCGGCGGGGGGGCCG